GTGTCAGAAAATTTCGAATGGAGTTATCGAAAATTTAAATTTGAATTCAAAAATAAGACTGAGGGGACCTAACATTTCCAAACTATAAAAAAATTATTTATTTCAATTAAGGAAAAAGACATTTTCAATCATGCAAAGAACGCTATTCAAGTTGACGAATATGATTCACAGAAAACCATTAATTTTATCGTTTTAAAAGAGAACATTCTAGAACGGAAAAAATCGAAATAATATTTTTTCTTTCTCGAATGAACGCTGCTGTTTCCTTATTTTTCAGTTAAATTTGTCCATTCTAGTTCATTCTAAACAGCGACACGTGTAGACTATGGTCATAAAATTTCAGAATGATAAAATTAATGATTTTCTTTGAAACATGTACATCACTATTTTTGGTATTTTTGTGAAACATTAGTTGCATTTAATAAAAAATACTCCCGATTAAAAAAAATCTTTTTTTTTCAAGTTTCGAGGCTTAAGGTCCTTTTAAGGAAATATCATATAGACTTTACTCAATTAGTAATTTAGTACAAATACAGGTTTGATTCCACTTTTTAGAAGAAGCTTTTTGTCAATGTATTAACAACGGTTTCTTTTATTCTGGGTATGGGTTTTGACCTATAAACCAATCTTCGCTTGACGACGATCGCCACTTCCAGCACGATGATGCATCCTCGACTTATTTATTATACATAGGCGTTTGCGCAGAAAAAGTATATAGCCTCACCCTAAATCAATATTACGTCTCGGTCGAATGAATGAGAGAAAAGGAGAGAGATTCGCAAGAGCCGCTGTTAGCAAGCCAAAAGCACCGCACTGAGAGCTCGTTGGCAATCAATCAGGGATTCGCTGGACCTCGACTGAGTCCAGACGATGGTGATTTTTATGATACACTAAGATTTTGTCCTTGCATTAATCTGGATATTGAAGGAATTCTAAGCTATTGCACAATTATCTATGTTATACGTTTTTTACTATTCTCGATGCTACGTCAATTCAGATTATGCTCAAATATGACGTGAGTAAAGTAATTTTTATTTTACACTATTTGATGTACATTAAAATATTTTCCTTATTCAATCGATTTTTAACTGAGCATAAAGGTACATTTGAAAAGGTATTTTAATTTTTATCATGCAGAATCAAAATGGGGGCGATATGGTTATTACAGATATATTCTATGGGTCTATAACCATTATTTTTCGAAATCAAAATGAAGAAAAAATTTGGCCTCGATTGATTAAACTTCTTTCTTGAGTTGTTTCATTTGCGAGAGTTGTTGATATTTATAATTTACATTTCAAACACAAAAAATCCACTCATACCTAATTCTAAATTTCAAGTGTCGAGTTCATGAATATTTTAATCGATTAATTATTCCAATTTTTAGTCAGCCTAATGACATTGCACGTCGGTATTGAAAACAAATTACAAAAATATTCTAATTAGTACTTCGCATCTTAGGCTAAACTCTTTCATCTCAATACTCGCAATTCTGCTTGCACGACAACTACGCGCGATGTCATAGGAACCTTCATTTTAATAAATTAGATCATTAAATCGAGCAAAAGATTACTAATTAGTTTCATTAACTGTTGAAAAGAAATTAAAAAAGTCTATTGCGGCAAAGTAAACAGAAAATTTGTAAAAAAAAATTAACGGTTAGTGCGTCAGCCGTAAAGCTCATTATGCATCGAGGGGAGAAAAAAAGTCAAGACATTGCACTTGTCTATCGGGACAACGCCTCGAGTGTTTTTCCTCATAACCGTTCGGAAGTAAGTGCTTGTTGTTGCTTTATTTTATTTTTTTTTCGCTCGCAGTACTGCACGCTGTTTGCGTCGCCGCATCCGTCGTCGGGACGCAGTCAAGCAGGACTTTAAAACATAAGCTGCACATAATACAACTTCCATTGTCGAGAATTTCACGCTTCGAGTGAGTTACAATAGGCACATGCGAATTTTTGATGGAGAGCAGCGAGCGCGCGGCTATTGGCCAGAGCGACACTTCGACAATCGATACGTAATAAACGTATGACACTTTTCAATATGAAATTGCTGGAAAGAGAGCCAATTCGTCACACATTTATAGTGCAGAAATTATATAGAGTACGCGAGAGAAACGGAGACGTGTCGAGGGCCGACGATTTTCAGTCTTTGTACGAATAAATGCCAATTTGACGTATGCGCGCCTGGAGCGTGTCGAAATTCGATTGCGATTTTCCAGCTAATGATTTTTGGGTCTCGTCCGCTGCTCATTTCCACATACTTCCCACTAGCCGCGATACGTAAAATCAACGATCGATAAAAAAACCACTCTCATGGATCATTCGCGTGGCCCATGCGACACATATATACTTACGAACATGGTAAATACATTTGGAGTTGCTACGATGGGAAGAATATCCTTTGCGGTTCTAGCCTGACTCACGAGACGCGTATTATCGTGCGCAGATAAGCGATAAGTTTCAAGCCGCCGACAATTTTTAACCTTATAAGTTTCAACTAGTTCATACATTATCGGCAATATCTCTGAGATTATGCGAGATGTATATATACAAGTCGGTAGACATGAAAGCGAAATTACGGAAAAAAAGAACAGTATGTCATACGTCAAGACACTACCTGCTTTGAAGGCGCGGCAAAGGCCGATTTCGCGTAAAAGATTACACCTAAATATTTGTGCGGGCCGATTCTCCAAATCGATGCAGAAATCTCCATTTGATAATAATAGTATATCGTGTTTGCGCGCGAATCCAGAGCGTATCGGTATCAGCGCGACCCTCCGAGGTAAGCGCACAATACTATAAATCATTGTCGCTAATTATCATGCCGCGCGACGATCATCCCCAGAGGAGATCGTTGGGCACGAAGGGCCGCGCGCCGCCATACAATGACGCTCGAGCCCAAAGTATCTCTTCAGAATCAATTTTTCGAGGGTAATCACAGTCGAGCACTTTGTACACACACACACACATACACTCACACAGATCTGATATAATAATCTTGCGAATCTATGCGTTACAGTCGATGCCGCGCTCGCGCCCGGTGCACAGCCCGACGACGCATGCATGGCACGCCGTTACGATACGATGCGAAGGCGAGCAAACACGCATGCCGTGTGTAAATTTACGCACAGCTCTGCTGGCAGTCATAATTAACCGCAATCGTCCTTGGCAAACATTACATCTATATACGTGCGTGCGCGCGTGGGCGTACGCAACTGTATTACACATCTATATGTGTGCGCGCATACGCTGCGAAGCCGCCGCAGCTGCAGTAACCGCGCATCCCGCGGGATGTATCTCTAGGAGTAGTCAGTAGACGATAGCAGTAGTGGTAAAAGCAGTAGCAGTGGCAACGATCAATATTTATGATTCGATTATTTCCACGTACATATATGCATGTATAAGGGCTAACTTTCTCTTTCTCTCTCTCTCTCTCTCTCTTTCTCTCTATGTATACAATCAGTCGAGCTAATATTTACTCGGCGCGTCGTCCTCATTCGAGAGTCGTCGTCGTCGCCGCCGCAGTCTGGTTAAATGATAATAATAATCATATCGCCATCGCTGCCGACGTTTTTCGGCCGCGGCCTCGGTATAGTATACGTATGACGACGATCACGACTCTCGACGAGTAATTTAATTTCTGCTGCGTCGCGAGTGACGAATCGATTGCAGCGCTGTCGTAAATTTTCATCTTTTCATTTTTTAACACTAATTGTGTATGAGATCGGTTATACTTTATTCATAATGATATCAGGTAACGCTCGACACAAAATATGCATTGTATATTAAAGTGTGTGAGTTTTCCAACTTATTCTGCGAAATTTCCAGGGGTTTCCATATTTATTCCCCATTCTGTATATGATAAAATGCGTCGTTTAGGCATTACGATGCCTCCTAGCAGCAAGATACCAGTTCACAGAGCAGAGCAGCATCATGGCAGTTCAGAATCTATTCGGCAAGATGCTACTTCGGCGCTGCGTTCAGCAAGATGCTAGTTCGTGGCCGCGTTCTGCATGATGCTTCTTCAAGGCCCATATAATAAAAATAATAAAAATCAAAACTAGATTGTAGATTACACTTTGCGAAGACAATTTAAAACTGTACACGATTTAATTTTCAAAGAGTTAAATTCGTACCTCCATAGAGTTATGGAATTTTAAATTTTCTTCGCAAAGTGTAATCTATAGCCGAGCTTTGATTTTTATTATTTTTATTATATGGGCCTCGAAGTAGCATCATGCAGAACGCAGCCACGAACTAGCATCTTGCTGAACACAGCGTGGAAGCAGCATCTTGCCGAACGGCGCGCCGAAGTAGCATCTTGCCGAATAGATTCTGAACTGGCATTATGCTGCTCTGCTCTGTGAACTGGCATATTGCTGCTAGGAGGCATCGATAAAATTATCTTAAAAAATGTCCAATTGCTATTTCGTGCAGAATTTTTTGCGACCATATTAGGCGCTCGCCGCATGAACCTCTCGAAAAATACACTTATAACGAAGAGTTTCGTGGCTCCCGAATCCAATTTAGTCAAAAAATTAATTCGATCCACTCTATTGTAAATTTTTCAGGCTACAATTGAAATAAACATGTAAACTAAATTTAATTAAAAAGAAAGAACTTTATTTTATATTACTGAGAGCAAGCTCTCTCTTCAGATTCTGTAACCCATCTGAACCTACTCGCGAGTTGAAAACAATCAAAAAAAGGGCACGTACATAACATAAACAGTTTTTACGCTTGAGCTTGCATAGTAACTATGCCTATACGCATAGTCATTACCTAATACTTGCTCATCATTCAGATAAATGATGGTTTCTGTGGTCCCAGAGAAACTTCAGCCCTCTGTACACACGCAATGAACTCTAAATTACGAGCCTCAAGACATAATTACAAACAAATCAACCATAAACTAAAATGATTGAGACCGGAACATATACATTAGAGTGTCTCTAAATTTATTTTTATTTTGAGTCATATATTATATAAGTGCAATAGATTTACAAAAGCTTTGGTGCATGACTAATTCATTACTATTTTAGTTACAAAAATACCCGACAAAAGTACATTAGAAACCTTATAGATTTGATGAATGTCGTTTTTTCCAATTATCACTCACCGAATAGTTATTTTATAATAATTTATCAACCTTAGTAGATGTTTAACCTATCAGAGCATCAATGAAATGTTTTCTTGACCATTTATTGGTCATTAAATGAACAATACGGCGAGTTGGCCAATAAATCGTCGAAAAAAAAGTTTCATTAATGCCAAAAAATGTTCGATTTTTACCAGTGAAATTGCTCAAATATAGAGGTTAAAGATTTGTTAGATTTTCCCATATTCGGTTCAAAGTCGTAGCTGATCAGCTTAAGCGTCAAGTACCCGGCATTTCCTTCATTACGTTTGAGAAATAATCCAAATCCAGATAAAGGTGTGCACTTCTTTGGTTCCACAGGAACAATATCGATGAATGGCACTACAGTCTGACCCGCATCAGTTTTCACGCTGCTTGTTGATACGCTCACGTATTCACCTGGTTTTGAATGAATTTTGTTGTTTGGATAATCCGTAGGAATATCTTCACCTTCTACTATCACTTGACTAAATAAAATTAATAAATAAAGTTATTTACTGTACATATAGATGCTATTATGATCTTTTATAATATGTTTACCTGAGCTTCTTGGAATTGCTAGGGTGCCAATAGAATTTTTCATGGTCAAGTTTTCCTTCCACATAATTATATTTATGGCCCTGAGCTGCTATTTTGAAGACACCATTGTCATATACAAATTTCACACCGGTTAAAACATAACCATGGTCAAGTTGTACGTCATCCAAGCTGAAATTTCTTGAATTCCACGAGATATCCTGATACTTTTGTTTCGAATGTGTATGGACAGATGAATTATCCATTTTTGAAGTTTGAATTTGCCAAGTTTTTGTTCTTTCATCGATCATGCCTGCTGGCATAATTTCGGCTTGTTCAATATCAATACTTAGTACATCGCCTTCCATTTTTAGGCGAAGTCCAACTACAACTCTAGGTATAAGTGCGTGAAAAATTTTATATTCGTTTATCAAGTACTTATGAGATATCTTACTTATTTTCCTGCACATTTGACGTTACTTCTTCAAGGCTCACGTACTTCCGATGATTCGTTTCTTCAATTGTGCATTCACAAATATCACAACGTATTGATGGACGCCAAATGCTCCAGGAATATGATAAAATTAGATGTCCATGACATTCATTTTCTTGATTTCGTGTTCCAAGAATTACAGTGTCTTTTGTTACATACTCGTATTTGCGGGAACTACCCGGCTGAAAAAATGTAATTTGAATCGTGATGCACGATTGGAGTAGTTTTATCAACTAACCTTAGAATAACAAAGATCTATTTTCATTCCCTTACTATTATTGCACTGCGTTAATATTAAATTGTCAGTAAAAGTCAAGTTACTGAATGATTTGTCATTACATTCGTAAGAACATTCTGTATTCAATTTATATTCGGGTATCAAATTCTGAAGATCCTGCTCCATTATAAACATTTTTTTAAAAAAGGAACCGAAATCCCTGAATGTTATATCTGCAATTTTTAATCATGTTAAATTATTCTTATATTACTTGGCTTGTCACGTGTACCTTTTTGTTCTTTTTCTAATTTACAATTCCAATATTCTCGGAACAATTTTTTATTCAATTTTTTCATCCATTCTTTTCGTTCTTGCGACCTCTTCGAGTATGATTCTTTCATTTCCCTAATTTTTTCGAAGCTATCAATGTCTAAATTTTTCGAAAGTATAAGATATTATTATTAACGAATAAATCATGATAAAAAAATTAGTTACAGTTTCTTACTTTTTTTCATTTCGTGCAGAATTGCGGCGTAGAGATCCATGATAATTCCTTTGAGATCAAATGCACAAAGCGCCATGTAAATATTATAAATAATCAAGGATTCAGGACGATCTACTGAGCATACCAATCTTGATGTCTGTCTCAAAAATGTATCGTAAGTGTTTGTCTAGTAATAGTTACTTATGTAACAAGTGCCCAAAAAGCTGGGCACGTGTTGCATACAAAATTTTATGCAATAGTAGGCGAAAAATACGTTCATTTAAATGCGGCGTTTTACCGCACACCCATGTCCAAAATGGGGCATTTTACCACACACAAGTGTCCAAAAACGCTTTTTGCGCACTAAAACATGTGCGAAAATAGTATATTTTGTAACAAGTGCGCGAAGCAGTTGACTCATCCAGGAGTTGTTTTCACCCGAGCGTAGCGAGGGTGCAAAGACTCCTGGGTGAGTCAACTTCCTCGCGGACTAGTTGCAAACGATATTTTTTGTCGTACTATTGCATAAAAGTATTTATTCAAATACTTACCATTGTATCATCGAACAAAAATTCCAAATTCTTTGCCGATTTTACTGTTTCATGTAAATCATCCAAAAAAGGGTCTATTACTCTCATAGGAACTCTCATAGTTCGTTTATCAAGAACTCCTTCTGGGTCGGGTGTATTGCTGCCAAAAATTGACGCATTAAACGCTTGGTAAAAGAACTCAATGTTTTGTAGTATTCCTTTGAGTTTTTTCATATTATTGTACATATTATATTCTGCAGGGGAATGTACACTAATACGCCTATCGTCAAAATTAATAAAATATGTGTCTACGAGAAACTGAAATTCATCATCAATGGCCTTCAGAACATCATCAAGTCTGGTGAAAACCTTATGTAAAGTCCTTGAATCAATTTGACTTTTTTCAGCAAAAATATCTTGCACGATTCTAAACGCTAGATCGATAAATTCAGTGGGATTTTCAATCAAAGTTCCAATATGAAACTTGGATAGGTCAATTTTGCCAGGGTAAATTTTGAATCTTATATGAGGCATGACATCGTATCCGAAGAGCTTGAGCGTCAAGTACCCAGCGTTTCCTTCATTACGTCTGAGAAATAATCCGAATCCAGATAAAGGTATGCGTTTCTCTGGTTTTACAGGAACAATGTCAATGAACGGCACTACAGTCTGACCCGCATCAGATATCATGCTGCTTGTTGATAATTTTACGAGATCTTTTGGTTTTGAATGGATATCGTTGTTTGAAAAATCCGTAGAGACATCCAGATCTTCAATTCTCACTTCACTAAAAATAAAATGATCACAGTCCATAGATCCTATTATGTCCTTTTAGACTAAGTTTACCTAAGTTTCTTGGAATCGCTATAGCGCCAATAGAATTCTTCAAGGTTCTCAAGTTTTCCTTCCTCGTAATTATATTTATGGCCCCGAGCTGCTATTTTGAAGAAACCATTGAAATCATATTCAAATTTCACACCGGTTAAAACATAACCCTTGTCAAGTTGTACGTCATCCAAACTGAATGATCTTGAATCCCACGAGATTACCTTGTACTTCGATGAGTATGTATGAGGAGATGAATAATCTTTTTCTAAATTATTATTTTGCCAAGATTTTGTAGTTTCATCTATCATACCAACGGGCTTAATCTCGGCTTCTTCAATTTCAAGATGTAATACATCTAAGTCAATTTTTAGACGAAGTCCTACTATAACTCTAGATAAAAGGACGTATAAAATTGTATATTAAATCATCGGGTGCTCGTGTGTTATTGAAAATATCTTACTTATTTGCCTGCACATTCGATGTTACTTCTGCAAGACTCACGCGTTTTTGACGAAGCATATCTTCATTTGTACATACGCAAATATTACATACATTCTTAGGGTTACTTGGTGATACGCCGCGTGTTAAAGTTAGATTTCGATGGCACTGTTTTTTTCCATTATTTGTTCCAAAAATGTGATGGTCTTTTTTCACATACTCGTACGTACGGGAACTGCCAGGCTAAATTAGTACATTGTATATTACATGACAAGGAACGAAATAAAAGTCGAATAAGAGTTGGCTTCGCCTCGAGTGCATAACCTCATAGGGACGCGTGTTGAACTTTGGTCCCGTGTCGCGCATAAGTTATGGAATATTAGATTTAAAAAATGTTTATTCATCAATATACACTTATATGGCAAAGTCCGCCGACATTTGCGTCCCGAGCGTAGCGAGGGCTATTGGTCAACGGCGGGCTTAGCAACAAATATCGTCAGTAATGTTTATTAGCAAATGACTAATATAATTATTTAATAATTGTAAATGATAGAAAACTATGATATAAATATTGTACAAACGATCTCGTAAAGTATATGGATGAAAGTATTAGTACCATATTTTTTATTATTGCGTTTTCCTTGTATATGTTTCCAGTGTATTTTGATTTTAATAAATTCCTATTAATCGTGAGCGTTATAATTAGTAATTCACTTAAAAATGTCACTTGATTCAAAGTTGCATACAATTTATTGTGGTGTAAAATTTTGAAAATTTAAATTTAGTAATTTATTCAATTTGAGCGGGCGAGTAACAAATCGAATGACTAAGGCAACCCTTATAATTGTAAAGAGTTTATTAAAATATGTAAACAAAAAATAATAAAACTTGACTGGTTTTGTTCTCTTACATCTCACTTTGGTTCACAAAACGCACAATTAACATCATTAAAGATTTGCTCTTCGGATTGAAATTGAATGTAATGAAATGAGTACGTCAAATTACGGTACAGTTAAATTTTTATACTTCATGGAATTGTTTCGATTTTAATAGTTATCGAATCCGTCAAACATGTCATAAAATAAATCAATACAATTCACATATTTTATAGTCGAAACAAAATGATAATTAAAATGTAGGTTACCGTAGTCATGGAGATAATTACTTTCACGCGATATTGACAGAAAAATGTTACTTTCATCCCCGAATTCGGAGATGAAAGTACCTACTTTCGAGGGATGAAGAATTGAAAGCGAAAAAAGAAAGCTTCAGAGCTCGTGTTTATAACCTCGGCTTCACCTCGGCCGATACACGTGCTCTGAGGCTTTCCAGTTTTTCGCTCCCAAGGCACGTATACTATTAATTGTACACGTGTCATAAGTAGCACATTATGAGCACGCTGCGCTCGGGCGCTTTACTCTGCCGTGCCATAATCTGCTGCTTATGCCACTGTTTTATAATGTACTAGTTCGATACTCGGGCCATAGGGGACACTTTTCGGCCCAGCTATTAGGACCCTTGCTGCGCTCGGGCCCTAAACTACGCCGTGCCAAAAAGTGTTACTTATGGCACTTGTATCGTAAATGACTAATTATGAATCCTCCAGCGAAATTAATTTCTTCGTTTTGGCCGCAGGGACGAGAAAGATTAGTTTCGGCTGGGGTAGCATAAAAAAAAGTAATATAGGCGTAATGCATAATTCGAGTAGATGCATAAAATTACCTCTGAATAACAAAGCTCTACTCTATCTCCGTCACTTTTGCAATTTCGTAGCATTATACTACCATCAAAACTTGAAACACTGCGAATGTGTCTGTCACAATTTTCATAACAAAGCTCTTTCAACTGTTGAGTATCGTTTGGTTGTAATTGTCGAAGTTCATTCTCCGGAATAAATTTTTTTTGAAAAATAGAACCAAAACTTGTGAAAGTACCTGTAATTTTTATTCATATGAAAGTATTCCTTTTGGTTAGTAAAACTTACCGCTTTGTGATTTTTCTTCGAAATAATTCCAATATTCACGACTAAATTTGTTGACAAATAGTTCATTGACTAGTTTAATTGTATCTTTTCGTTCATTCGTTCTTTGCGTGTGTGCCTCTTTGATTTTCTGAACTTCCTCGAAACTATTTATTTCTTAAATTAATCAAAGATAATATATTATCATAATGAGTAAATATAAATAAAATGAGTAATTAACAGATTTATGAACTTTTTTTTTTCATATTGCGTGTTATAACGAATAATTCCAACATTATTTCTTGCAAATCTATGGCGTAAAGCAGAGCATAAATATTATAGACGTGTACTTTTAAAGGACAGCGTTTCGTGCATTTCCGTGATAAAAACTGCGTCAAAAATATATTATTTCATTATTATAAAGTTTATCACATATTGTAGAAGTACTTACGCCCACAAGGAACATTGTTCTCTTCATTATATCGTGGATCACATCACAACTCATCTTTACATCAATTATATCAATATCTATTTTATCAAGTTCTGTTTTTGCATCTTTAATTGCCTTTCGAAACTCCTTGTATAATACGTCAATGATCTGAATTCTCCAAAAAAAGGTTTTTACTTCAAAAATTTCGTTCGGATCAATACGGATAGGCTTTAAAATTTGACTAATTTCAAAGAAACTGTCGTCGATTTTAGTAAAAGCGCTATCAAGAGTTTTTGCGTCAAGTTGACTTTTTTCCGCAAAAATATCTTGCATAATTTTAAATGCCAAATCAATAAATTTATTGGGATTTTTAATTAATGTTACGATGTGAAATTTTGAAAGATCGATGTTACCGGTGTTAGTTTCAGATCTAATATTTGTTATAGTAAATATCACAAACAAAAAACAAAAAATTATCAACTTTAATTCCATTTTGTTTATATTTAATTAATGTAGAACAAGTATTTGTACTGGATGATTATTTATTTCGAATGTACTTTACGAACTAAACTGATGACTCGGAGGAAACTTGACAAAAATATTGTCATAAAAGTTATGAATACATCACGTTAACGTGATCGTAATAGTACATTGCAAGATAAAATTTAACGCTTTTTCTAAGCTAAACATTCTTGAATTATATATTATGATTTTCCTATAAAATTTCTAGAATTTTTTTCAAACCGGTTATATTTCCAATTATTTTACATTTAATCAGGGATTCGGGAAATAAATATATTGACGTACCTTGCAACCAAGTACACATTATTGAAAATCTGCAGTTTATATATAATGGGTTTACCTTCAAAATTTTTGTCAAATCAAAAATACGTCGCTTTTTTCTTAAAACGACAAGCACACAATTTATAAATACATTTTTGCACGCCTATGACATTGAAAGAAAATTTGTACAAGAAAAGAGAGAGAGAGAGAGAGAGAGAGAGATAGAAAACAAAATAGTGGAGAAAAGTGAGGGTTACGTTACTGTACTTATATACGAACAATCTTTTCCTTCTCTCTTTTCCTGTGTACGTGTGCGCGTGCGTACGTGCGTGCGTGCATATGCAAGTATGTGTGTATATGTGTATTCATGTGTTATGTGTGCGTATATGTGCATGTATATATACGCACTTAGCGCTGGAAGCACGACGCAGAACGACACAGATATGCTTTTAGCGTTGCGTTCGTCGCCCAACAGCTTGCAAAAGCAACCCTATAGTATTGGCGTACGGATCGCTCGATATTCGCTGTACGCGCGCCTGACGCTATATACGTATATAAATGTAGTACCAGTACTTACGGCAAAAGCTCCGATCCATATATAGACCTATGCGCGTATAAAAAAAAATTATAAATGTGTATATCGTAAAAAAAAATGCAAAGAGAAGAGAAAAGAAACGCGATGCCGTTTGAGATCTTTATGTCGCGTATATTTTTTTTATGTTGTCCGGGGAGGATTAATCAGCGAGAAACGGATTATAGTTTTTTTGGAAATTGAAAATGTTGGAATGGAAGCCGACGATTTTCTTGTCAGCGCACTCGAGGCTGCGTGGCCTTGGCCCGCACCACGATATTCTAATACATAATGAAAAGCGCTCGCCGCTCGACGTCTTATATTATGAATGCATGCGTTGGATCGGCAATTGAATTTGTCAGCAGGCAAAAGCACATCGTCTGTGTATATATATGTATACGGAGCTCCGAAACCAAAGTACACGTCAACTTGGAATATACACAGGGCTTACCTATGTACGTATGCGCAAGCAGCATGTATGGAGACGATTATTTCGGTCCCCCCTTTTTTCCTTCGATCTGCACGATGGGCATATAATGCAATAATCGGCCATATGCGCCGCATGATGCTTTCTCTCTCTCTCTCTAAGCAAGACCCCATACAGTGCCCTGCGCGGTTCGTAACTCAAGTACATGCGTACACAGGCACGCTCGGTTTACTTTATATCAGAATTACACACATAGGAGCAGCAGAAGCCGAAGCAGCAGCCACTGGACTACTGTTGGACAGCAGCAGCAGTAGCAAATATTGCGTGTTTTGGGATCTGTATACGTATTATATACCGTATAGCCAAAGACTTAGCCCATGTCACGACGAGCGTCTATTCCGACCGACGATGCTATGTAAGCAGAAGATAATAATCGGTGTGTGTTATGGTTTTGCTCCAAATGAGACGAGATGTGCTAGCGGCACTCGCGAATAATGCAATTTTTCACTTGTTTCTCCTTTCTATCTCTTTCTCGCTCTCTGTTTTTTTTATCATCATTACGAATAATGTGCAGCTATTAATCACCGCGACGCTGCTGCACAGCTGCATCGTATTCATTATTATTATTGTTATTATCATACGCGTATTTCGCATTACTGCGCGCGTTCATTCGTCAAAAATTAACTCGATCGACGTCAAAAAATCACGCATCGTTTCTCGTTCGATGGGCTTGTATACACACATAATGTAGCAACATGCGTCGTAGCGTAATCGAATCTTGCTCGAGCCACTGATCCTCTCTCTCTCTTTCTCTTTCTCTTTCTCTCTTTTCCGATATATACACATAAATAACACGCGTACATACATGCTAATCAAGCATAGCCAAATACACACGTAATAGAAAGAATGAAAAAAAATTGTCGTCGTCGTCCTCTCTGTCTCTCTCTCTCTCTCTCTCTCTTTTCTGTCGATTTTTTTCGGACGGGCAATAAAAATCGCTCGATCGTGCGCAGTGCGCGTTTACATTATATACACACACTGGCCTTATGAAAATAAAACCAAGCCGTTCGAGCGTAAAGTGTATTTCGGAAGGTGCACGTATGTATATTATATTATTATACGCATTTGCATGGGTGTGTTGCCGTATGTCGCTGATTTTCTCCTTCTCTCTCTCTCTCTCTCTGATTTAATCAGTGATGCTGCCTTTCTGTAGTAGGTAGTAGTTGTAACAGTAGCAGCAACACGTATTAAAAAGAGGGTGGGTGGGTGTATATAGCCTTTTAATCAGTATAGTAGTCGGCGCATATGCGAAGTTGTATATACACAGGCTCGTAAGCTCTATATATACGTACCCTTGGTCCCGATACGTACGCGTGACAAGTGTCGTTGCTACTACAACTTGTACAACTACTACACCCTCAAGAACTATATACCTAAGCGTATATACGTATACGTGCACATATATACAGGTGCCACATGCCGCATATATCGAAGCGATAGATAAGAATCAATGGATTAGGCGGCGGCAGCCATGCTTTTATCGTATACGCATGGCGAGCGATAATCGCGTCTACGTAGTAATGTGCAGCAGCAGCAGCAGCAGCAATGACTCGATCTTCGATACGAAGGGTGATCACGAGACGCGCACTGCCTGCCTACTATACGACTATGTAGCATGGGCTGTAAAGCGTCAATCGTCCCGCTGACATGTGCATGTAACGTGACATTCAAAATCTATATATAAGAAGTGCAAAGCTGCTGCCGACGCCGTCGCCGTCGCCGCTGTATACAACAGCTGCATAACAATTGTCACCAAGTTTTGAATATTATATTATATTCGCGGCCAAAATAAAAGTATGTACATGCAAAGCTCGACGACATAGCGGCGCTTATTATTATCAGCTCCTCGCTGCTGCATATACGATATATGTACAAAAGAGATGCGCGCAGAGAAATCGTCGAGTCATGCGCTGCTCTCTTTGTAAGCTTCGAAGAGCGCGCATACGCACGGCCTTTAATCCCTATATATACTGCGTGCGATTAGCCTGTGCCGCGCGGGATCAGAGAGAAAATAATTATCGAGCGGCGATCGAAATCAAACGATATTTCGCGCGCGTAAACGTCGAAAAAGAAAAGAAAAAAAAGAAACTGTCAAATAGCCCTCGCGATATGTATCGCGCGCTCGACGATGCGGGCACGCTGTCAATTCTCAGCTCGCTCTTGTATGTAATAATAATAAAATATTATAATCCCGAACAAAACGCATCTGCCTTATTATGAGCGACACGTATCCGTACGCGTACATAATACACTTGACGCCTTTTAGCCTCGGCTCTTGACATTCGCGAGCGTGACTCTGCAGCAAAGGCGTTTTTGGCGGCGGCAAAGCAGAAGCGACATAATAAGCTACCTGCGATGCACATTGCATCAAATATGTATACATACCTGCTCGCTTTATTGGGCGCGACCTATTATGTCGTATTCGATACGCTCGAGGGGCTACGCGCGCGTCAGCTTCATTGATTGTCAAGAGGCCATTCGAACGATTGTTGCGGAGGAATTTTTTAAAGACGCGCACGCAAGACGTTATAATTTGCTCGTACGCGGAGGGGGCGGTTGATCGTTGATTCCCAAATATCTTACTATCGTGTACAATTGACAATCACAACAACAAAATACATCGACTCGTACGAGCTCAACTAGTTTTTTCATTCATAAATATAATACCTTAAATAATGCGCTGCTTATTATAGATGTTTTACCCATCGCGAGGAAAAGCCTTTATGAAAATACGCCTCGTATACACGTGAGAAACTTTCCCTTTAACGATCTCCGGCGGCGCGCGTTAATGCAGCCAAGTCGACGCGTTTTCCAAGTTCCGATGTACGTTATGTTTCCAAGATGCAAAATAACATCGTCGCGCGTGTGTACAAACAGCGCCAAGCGACTAGACGCGAGAGGAGCTTTTAGCGACGCGCAGCTGCAGTCGCGCGAGTAGACTTTGAGAGCTTACGGCGGCCATGGCGACGTGTATACAATTTACTGCACGCGTGTATATAAAACAGTCTCGCGTATACGCGAAGATGTAAAATCTGCACCAGTACTTCGTGGAACAACAAAGTGGAAAATGTATACATCATTTTTTTGGGATTTCGACGATACTAATTCACAGCGCGAATCTAATGTACGCGAGCTTTTCTTACATCAACGCAAGCTCGCGCTTTCACTTGATAAAATACATAAAATTTCCAGATGCATGCGCGTGTGTCATTTTGTTGTCATCTTGCGTGTGCGCCTCACATCCGATCTGCGATATCGAAATGTATCATTTTTATCGTTGG